GGGGGAGACCCCCGGGTTACGGAGGAAAAGGTTGGCAATTTTCCACAGTAAAGCGGCGGTGGATCACGCTCTCTCAATTCTAGAAATGTAGCAAATCCCCTGTGTTTTTGGACCCTGACCCCGCGGATCTGCGTGAGGGGTGGCACCGAATTCCAGAAATGTAGCAAATCCCCCGTGTTTTTGGACACTGACCCTGCGGATCTGCGTGAGGGGTGGCGCCGAATTTCAGAAATGTGGCAAATCCCATGTGTTTTTGGACCCTGACCCCGCGGATCTGCGTGAAGGGTGTTGATTTCGAGCCCCCCCAGCAATTCAGACAACGCGCCCAGCAGACGCTTCTTTTATTTTTAAAAATCCCGTTTGGGCCCCCCCCCCTCGCGCGGTCAATCAACTAGTTACAGTAACCAGCAAGAAGTCAACTAGTTATAGCAACCAGCAAGAAGCAGAACTGTAACACTGGAAACTACAAACTACAACTGGTACAGGAAACTGCGAATCACGCGCCTCGCAGCCTGGTGGCCCCACAAGGGGGCCGGCGGATTCCAGAGGTCGCCTGTAGGAGGAAGTGCCCGACCTAACCCTACCTCCCTGGCCCCCCCCCCTCCCCGACTGTCGCTCTCCGCTTCTTCGAGGGCCTCCCTCCAAAACAGGGCGCCGCTGGGGGCCAGGTGGGGGCCCCTGGAGCTGTCGTGGAGGCCCCTCGGCGCCCTCCTTGGCCCCTTTCTGTGCCTGCCTGGCGCATGCCTGGCCTGGGTCAGGAGGGCAAAAACACACAGACACAATTAATCGTCGATTCCCAGGAGCATATGCGAAACTATGGGAAGTCGGGGGAAATACGAAAATCCCCCAAATATGGAAAATATAAGAAATCCTGTTATTTGTGTGTATTTATTTGTGTGTCCCAGGGCCCCGTCACTGGGGCCCCAAGCTGGCTCGCCGGCGCCTGCACGGCGGCTCGCAGAAGGGGGGGGGGTCAACACAGGGTGGAGCTGGAGCTCGAGCCCAGTGCATGCTCGCAGTCCCTTCGTCCATGGGGCCCTCTGGGGCGACTCTCCTCTGACCCCGCCCCCGCCCCACCCTCTCGTCCTGCCGACCGGCCGGGCCACGCCGGCTGGCGGAGCGGGCCCCGAGAGGGCCGGGCCCACCGAGGGGCGCCTCCGAGGGGGGGGAATGGCGAGCCCGGCCCTGCGCGCGCCCCCCGCGGGCAGGCCGACCTCCGAGGCCGCCAGCAGGGCCCCGACCAGAGGCCCCCCAGACGCTCCAGGAGATCCCCAGATGTTACTCCAGATTTCGTAATAAAGGGAGGGGGGGTCTCATTTCGGGGGGGGGTCTCTTCCAGGCTATCTTGGAGGGTCTGGGGGGTCTGGGGACGATGTTTTGGAGGGTTCTCCCACGGGGGAGGTCTGAAATGGCTTGTCTTGGAGGGTCCAGACCCCCTCCCTTTTATTACGAAATCTGGAGTATGCTGCTCCAATCTGCTTTAGCCTCGAGCACCAGCAAGAATTTGGAGCACCAGGGAAGTGCCGACCCTGGGGGGCTTTCGCGTGTCGGGCCCTGGGAGGCGAGACTCGTTCGACACTGCTTCGATATACTGTTCCGGGTGCTCGAACTTATTTGGGGGATGTGGTCCTCAAGTACGACGGGAGCAACATAACCCACGTGGCCCTTCCCGGGGAGGGGGCCTGGCCACAGGCGGGGCGCGCGTCGCTCTCTCGGGCAGGGTGGCCCCCCGGCGGGGTCGGCGCGCTGCTGCGAGGCCCGCAGGCCGCGGGGCCGCACCGCCGCGTGCAGGGCGACGCCGCGGCGGCCCTGCGCGGCAGGGCCGGGCCGCGACGGCTCTGGTCGTGCCCGGTGGCCTCCGAGAGATCTCGGGCCCGCGCCCCGCGCGGAGCCCGCGCCGCGCAAAAGGCTGCCGAGGGCGCGGCGCGCGTCCCCCCCCTCCGCCCTCTCCCCCCCCCTCTCGGGTCCTCGCGCCGTCCTCTTCCCCTGGGGCCCCCGCGGTCTGCAGCGGCCGGGCCGGAGCGCTCTCCAGCACTTCTCCACTCGCCTCCCTTCGGAACAGCTCCTCCCCGTCGCACCCCGAGGCCAGTCGGACGGGCGGGCCTGGCGTTTCGTCAAAGACGCCCTCACGACTCATGCGCCTGAAGCCTGAAAACTGACAGCATGTTCACGGGTGGAGGGCTCCTCCTCCTCTTCCTCCTCCTCCTCCTCCTCCTCCTCCTCCTCCTCCTCCTCCTCCTCCTCCTCCTCCTCCTCCTCCTCCTCCTCCTCCTCCCTCCTCCTCCTCCCCCTCCTCCTCCCCTCCCACTCCTCCCTCCTCCTCCTCCTCTCCTCACCCCCTCCTCCCCCTCCCCCTCCTCCTCCCCCATCCTCCTACCCCTCCTCCTCTACTTCCTCCGCCTCCTCCTCCCCCTCCTCCTCCTCCTCCTCCGGGCCGCTTCCAGAGTGTGACTCTCGCCTCAGCGCCGCGCGCACGCGTTTTGAGCACACGCAGGAGCTTCACGGACGGAGGGCGGGCCGCTCCAAGCATGCGTGTTTCTCGCTGGAGCGGCGCCGCGCGCATTCGATCTACAAACACGCAAGCGTTTCACGGCGTGAGGGCGGGTTGTCTTCAAAATGTGGTTCCCGTTCGAGCGCCGCGTGCACTCGTCTGATGCGCATTGCAGTCTCTTCACGGATCGGGGGCGGGTCGTTTTCAGAATGTGTGTCTCGCCGTGGCGCTGCGCACATCCGTTCAAAACAAGTCGCTTGAGTTTCACGGATTGCGGGCGGTTCTGTTCCAACATGTGATTCTCGCCTCAGCATCAGCGCCGCGCACGTGCTTTTTTGCACAACATGTAAACGTCTCAGTTACATGGGTATTCATGGTGAACGTCTCAGAAATGATGATTTGGAGCGGTTCAGGTTTGTCAGAGCGCAACAGTTACGTTGATTCGTGGTGCTCAAGTCCCAGGAATGGTGTTCTTTCACGGTTCAGGAAGACGCGATAGTTGTCCTGAAAATGAGTTCCTGGCACGGTTCAGGAAGACGCAATGGTGTTTTGGCACGGTTCGTGGCGTTAAAGTCTTGACAATGATGTTTTTGCACGCTACAGTTTTTTCACACGGTTGTCTCCCAACGAGGCAGTTCTTTCAGTGGACATGAATTTCTGCAGGGGCATACGGAGAGGTGTTGGAGGAAGGGTGTATTCCAGCATTTTTACCTAACAGCTTTTGCTGATAGGTTTCTAGTGGTCTCAAAAGAGAGCATCAGATGACTCCTCAGGGGGGTCTGGGCGGGACCCGGACAGGCTGCCGCCGCGGCTGCCGCCGAAGCCGAAATCGCTTGGGACATCCTCGCAAAATCGCTCTTGGTGCTCCCAGAACTCCATTCCCGGGCCACATTTTGGATGCCCGGAGCCAACTGTAGGCCACTTCGTGCTCTTCGACTTCCCAGAACTCCATTCCCGGGCCACATTTTGGATGCCCGGAGCCAACTGTAGGCCACTTCGTGCTCTTCGATTTCCCAGAACTCCATTCCCGGGCCACATTTTGGATGCCCGGAGCCAACTGTAGGCCACTTCGTGCTCTTCAAGTTCCCAGAACTCCATTCCTGGGCATGATTTTGAATGCCCGGAGCCAACTGTAGGCCACTTCGTGTTCTTCTAGTTCCCAGAACTCCATTCCTGGGCCACATTTTGAATGCTGAGGCAGGCTGATGCTGCGGCCGAGGCAGGCTGAGGCTGAGGCAGGCTGAGGCTGAGGCCGAGGCTGAAGGCAGACTGAGGCTGAGGCTGAAGCAGACTGAGGCTGAGGCTGAGGAGGCTGAGGCTGAGGCTGAAGAGGCTGATGCTGAGGCAGGCTGAGGCTGAGGCTGAGGCTGATGCAGGCTGAGGCTGAGGCAGGCTGAGGCTGAGGCCGAGGCTGAAGGCAGACTGAGGCTGAGGCTGAAGCATGCTGAGGCTGAGGCTGAGGCAGGCTGAGGCTGAGGCAGGCTGAGGCTGAGGCTGAGGCAGGCTGAGGCTGAGGCTGTGACTGCGACTGCCGTTGCCGCTGCGACTGTCATCGCGAATGCGACTACGACTGCGAGAACAGCAGAATTCTACAACTGGATTTTCATCTGAATCTTAAGGGGAATGCTTTCAGATATGCTTCTACACATCGCTGTTAGGTTGCTTTGCCGGGATAATTGATGAGTCTTGTGTTTACTCCGCTCCTTCTCCTCCTCCTCCTCCTCCTCCTCCTCCTCCTCCTCCTCCTCCTGCTCCTCCTCCTGCTCCTCCTCCTCCTGCTCCTCCTCCTCCTCCTCATCCTCCTCCTCCTCCTCCTCCTCCTCCTCCTCCTGCCGCGTGCCGCGCAGTGCTGCGCGCAGAAGTGGCCGTGGCCGGTTTTCCCGTTCTGGCTCGGCCGTTCCTGGCGCCACCGGCGCCGACGCCCGCCCGTGTGGCGGGGGCGCGTCGCGCTCGGGCAGGATCGAGGGCTCCGAGGCTCTGGGCCTCCCAGATGGGGTACGAGTATACGGTGCCGAAGGTCAGTATCGTTGAACCGATCCCCATCCCCATCCCCATCCCCACCCTCCCACCACTCCAGTTGGGCAATATACACCTTGAAGGCCGAAGGGAGCCCCGCCCATCTCCCCATCAAGGGAGGTGAATCGGCCAGTGGTGCCCAGGCCACGCCCGTGGGGATAGGGATCGGTCAAACGATGCTCAGAAGGATCGCTCCGCATCGACGATGCACCGACAATGTGGCTCGATGTGGAGCCGGAGTTTCTCCACGCCGATGGCGCCGATGCATCGCCGACATCGCCGATGCATCGCCGATGTTTCGCCGATGCGTCGGCGATGCATTGGCGATGCGGCGCGATACTCCGACCTCATGCGCTCGGACCCCATCTGGGCGGCCTCTAGAGGCGGGAATCTGTCCACAACCGCCGCCTTCCACCGCCACCACCATGGGCAGCAGGGGCAGGGGGTCCTTCTCCTCCTCCTCCTCCTCCTCCTCCTCCTCCTCCTCCTCCTCCTCCTCCTCCTTGGAGACCGAGCCTGGACCTCAGCAGGCGGTGGACACGGATACATTCGGGCCCTCGAGGGTGGGGGCGGGGGGCAGATCTGTGTATTCATTGGGCCCGCAGAGCGGGAGACGCGGCAGACCCCCAGGAGGAAGTTTGCGCGCAGATTTGGCAACCAGTGGGTGTTAGGGATCCTGCCTCGACGAGGGTCAGTACTCCAGATTTCGTAATGAAGAGAGGGGGGTCTCATTTCGAGGGGGGGGTCTTTTCCAAGCTATCTTGGAGGGCCTGGGGGGGTCTGGGGACGATGTTTTGGAGGGTTCTCCCACGGGGGGGGGTCTGAAACGGCTTGTCTTGGAGGGTCCAGACCCCCTCCCTTTTATCACGAAATCTGGAGTACCAATCGCTTGGACAATGTTGGCGTCCCGTGGGGGATTAATGCTCAAAGCGATAGCGCTCTCCGAGGCAGATTGTCGAGGATCTCTTGAGAGAAGCTGCTATTTTGGGGACTCGGAGTCCCCTCCGAGGCTGACTTGTCGAGGACGTCCTGCGAAACTGCCATCTTCGCGAGTCAGAGTCCTCTCTGTAGCCGAGTCGTCGAGGATGCCCCGAGCAAAACGGCGGTCTGTGAAGATGGGGCCGCGTCACCACGAACAGTACAGTCGGGGCGCTGAAGAAGGAACCCTTTTCGTTGGGGAGGGTCTCGGTGTTCCTTGATTGTTTTACAGTTTGCCTTGGGTGTTCCTGGGGTCTTCTATGGGGAGTCGAAGTTTAACTTGTGGAAGCAAAGGGGCCTCGTTCCTTCTTTAGGGTTAGGGGCAGCGTGGCAGCCTCTTGGCGATCCGCGCGCACGGGTGCCCTGCTCCTGCCTCCTTCCCCGCCATCATCCCTTGGCATCGCTCGGACGTGTGCATTCTTCCTTCGGCGAGGGCCATCGAGGAGCACCCTTGATCATTTGGCGAAACAACCACGCACGAAACCGAACAAAAACACAGGGAATGGACGTCCGAGCGATGGCCAGCTCTCTCTCTCCGCCATCATCCCGTCCTCTCCATCTCTCCTCCCGCCTCCTTCCTCCCGCCGCCCTCCTCCCTCCCCCTCCTCAGCACCCCTCCCCTCCTCCTGTCCCTCCTCCAGCTCCTCCTGTCCCCAGCTACTGTTCCTAAAAATCCCACTTGTTCCTATTTGCCATCGACGGCAACGTCAGTGATTGTCGCCCAGCCTGCCTTGTTTGATGCCACGACAGGTCTTAAAGAGACGTGCGAACGACACACACACACACACACACCGCCGCGGCAGCCGTTCGAGTGGCACAGGGTGTGCTGGCGACCCCGACGGGGGGATAGACCAGCCCGGAGTCCAAGGACCCCACGTCCGACCTCCCTCCCTCCATCCCTCCCCTTTTTGTCCCCCTTCCCCCCCTTCGTTCTCGGAGTGGGGTGGGCGAGCAGAGAGCCCCCCTGGAGGGCCTGTTCCGCCGCTTCAGCGCGGAGATGCCCCACAAGCTGCCGCTGTTCGAGGGCCACGAGCTCAGCAAGGCCCCTCTCCCCACCTGCCAGTGCTGCGGGCTGCTCCTGCTCCTTCTGCTCCTCCATCCACCTTCTCATATGTATCCTGTCTCGTCCTCCTCGTCGTCCTCCTCCGCCTCCTCGTGCTACTCCTCCGTCCATCTCCTGCTACTGCTGCTGTTGGTCCACCTCGCCCTCCATGTCCCATCCTCCCTGCCTCCCCCCCCCTCTCCTCCTCCGCCTCCTCCTCCTCCTCCTCCTTCGCCTCCTCTTCCTTTTACGAGGTGAAGATTTCACATCCCCCGCATTTGTCCGATCACCATCGCCTCGCTATCACCATTGTGACAATCAGATTCATTCCAGCGCCGTCTCGTCATCGTCGTCATCGCCGTCGTGACCAGTCGAATCAAATCGTCGCACTTTGTTTCAAGATCCAGCTGCCTTCGGCAAGTTCCGCCACAATGCTAGCAACGCAATCTGCACGCCGACGCTTCGGTCACCGTCCAGGAGACTGTTGCATGTGATGCCTTGTGTCTGCATCCCTTGAGGGGCTGTGCTCTCTTGGAACCGTCTTCGGCTGCCTCGGGGACCTCTTGGGCAGTCTAGAAGTCGTATCGGGCCTTCTGGGGCTTTTCTCGGCCATCTGAAAAGTTCGGGGGCCTCTTGGGGCCTCTTGGGTTGTCCTGGGCCCCTCTTGGGCCCCTGTGGCCTTCTAGCCTCTCGTACGCTCAATGTCCTCTTGAAGCCATATTGAGCCGAGAAAGGGCGGTATGTACAGCATATTGAGCAACCCTCGGCTTTCGGACTTCTAACGGCGGTCGGCCCATCCCGCCACCGTGCCTGGGTTGTGGGTCTGAGGCCTCCTGGATGTTCGTTGGGATCTCGTCGAGGCCTATCGGGGGCCTCCTGGAGGCAGTTTTGAGGCCTTCATGGAGCTGTTTTGAGACCTGTTGGGCCTAATGGGGCCTTTCGGGGCCTCATGGGGGCCTCCTGGGCCTCTTGGGGACTCCTGGGTGCCTCGGACTGTCGGTTCGTGCTCTCCCTCTTGGGCCCTTCTTTAGGATGTCTTTGGGTCGTCTTCGGCGCCTCTGGGGGCCTCTTGGACGTCGTGAGGTGGTCTTGGGAGCCTTTTGGGCCTTCTTGAAGTGTCGGAAGTTCGAAAAGTCGAGGACCCGCCAGCATTCAGATATTCCAGGGGAGTCAATGATGTTGGCTTCTCGGGGACCTCTTGAGAAGGATCTTGGGGCTCTCTTTGGGAGTCTCGAAGGCTTCTTGGGCCGTCTTGGGGCCATCTTGGGCGTCTTGGACCAGTCGTGCAGCCATTCGGGTCCCTCTTGGACCGTCTGGGCGACCTCTTGGGGTTCTCGGGGCCCGTCTTGGGGCCCTCCCGGGGGCCGAGAGAGGCACGCGAGGAGATGCCCCCCGGGGCTCCACGGGGCGCGCGCGGACGGAGCCTCAGAGATCACGCAGCGAGCCCCAGCAGATTTTGCAATTTCCGGTCCAGGCCCCTGGAAGAACCCTCAAGATTGAGGACTGCTTACTGTCCTCCGTCGTCGTCGTCGTCGTCGTCCTCCGCATTCCTCCTCGTGCTCGCCCTCGTTCCTTTCGTCCTCGTCCTTGCGCTTCTCTTCCTCCTCGTTGTCCTCATGCTTCTCCTCGCTATCCTTACGTTCTCCACGTTGTTTTCGTCATCGCCTCCTCGTCGCCCCCGCCGTCCTCCTCTTCTTTGGACCTGCGGACACTCCAACACGTGCCTCAGGCGCACGGTAGCGGATGTTTGGGGGTCTGAAAATTTGGGTTTCCCTGCAGGGCCTTTTGGGCTTCTATGTGGAGTATTGGAAGCCTCTTTGGGCCTCGCTGGCTCCTTCTGGGTGGTTTCAGGTTGTTGATTGCCTCTTCAGGCAGTCTGGGGCCATCCTGGCTGCCGGAGTGCCCCTTCTTGGGCAGTCTTGGAAGCCGTGGCGAGACCCAGGGAAGCGGCAGGGCACCCCGAAGCCCTGGGCGGGGACGTGCGCCCCGCTGTGCGTCGAGGGGGCGTGCGCCCCCCGGTTTCGGTGTCCAGTCGCGCGGGCGGCGCGGTCCGCGGACGCCGACGGAACAAAGCAAGTCGCATGCTTACCAGCCTGGAACATATCCCTATCCCTAAGCTGGGCATCGCCTCATCACAATGCCAATCTTAGGGATTCCCTTATTTTTTGAGGGCGCATCCCTGAGACTGTCATCGCCTTCTGGCGTGCCAATCTTAGGGATCGGGATCAGTTCGAGGCTGGTAACATGTTTCGCCAGCAGCATTCACTGTGGGGACCTTGGGGTGCCGACGCGGCGAGGGAGAACGTGCGTGGAGCTTCGCGGAGGGCTGGGGGGAGCGCGCGCGAGGCACGCCCCGAGCCCCATCGCGGGGCTTACCTCCGCGCAAAACAATCGGGGCTGGACAGACCTCCTACCCTGACACGTCGAGTAAGGAATTGGCCGTTTTCGATTCGCGAGAGGGCGCCGCGGCCGTCATTTTGGCGGGTCCAGGTGCGTTGGTTTCGGTCCCAGGCCGTTTTCACTAAGGGGAGGTGTACTAAAGGGAGGCTTGTCCACCGCCGAAAAAAATAAAGATGGCACGGGCTGGGAGGCGGAAGCGGTGTTGAGACATGAGACATTGTGGTCGGGGCCGGGGCTTTTTCGCAGTAAGTGCCACCCGCCTATCTATGCTACGAAACACCATGAACGGCTCACTGCGCGGTGCACGGCATGCGTCTGCTTGGGATTCGATTCGTAAGACTTGATTAAAAAAATTACCAATGCCTGCGGCCCGGCGCAGGACCAAGTAGGAACAACATCCTGGCATGAATTGGCATCCGCCTCTCAATGTTGCGCGCAAGCCAACATAAGACATGCCGATCATCTTCCCTCGGTGCATTCCTGAGCGCGCTGCCCACACTGAAAGGCGAATATCACTTGATGATCCTCATGTCGGCGTTGTCGTTGGCAGATCATTACAGATACTCGTCTTGTGGGTTTTGTTATACCTTGCATTCCGGCAGTGTGGAAGATGCTCAAAAACCTTGCTCGACAACATTTGGGCATGTCTCCACGCAGGGCGGAAGGTGGAGGATCTCTCCCCATCCCACCACTGATTGCTGACCCGCAAAACCTGGTTTTCTGTGCAAGAGCCAGGGTCCCAAAACCGTCTTGCGACAGACCGCCTGGTGACCTCACCAGGCGGTCCGTCAGAGTTTTCGGGATTTGGGAGTTCCGAGGCGGTGGAGACATCCCCAAAACCCAGCCCAAGCCCCAGGGCGGTCCGCGCGGTATCCTTCATAACATACGCCCACAACCGCGTTGGAACCTGGGCGCCCCCCCGGCGAAGTCGGCGGGTTCCAAGGTTTCCCGTAAGGGCTTCGCCCCCTGCCGCCAGCCCCATCTCTATCATAATGGGATCTGTCAGAGTCGCATCGGTGCGTCTCGGCGCTGCCTTGGCGCATTTGGGAAAGCATGCGGGAGCGGATAGGAATCATCAGCGCATATTAAGACGTTGGCGTTATCCTAGTGGCTTCTGTCCCATCCCGCCACCGTGTCTGGGTTGTGTCTCTGAGACCTCTTGTGTATGTGTTGGGGCGTCGTGGGGAGCCCGTCGCGGGCCTCTTGGAGGCGGTTTCGGCTCCTCTTAGGGGCCTCTTGGGGCCTCGTGGGGTCTCTGTCGGGCCTCTTGCAGGCCTTTTTGGTGCGTTTTAGGCGCCTCTTGGGGCTTCTTGGGGCCTCCTGGGGGCTTCTCCGGGGCTTCTCGGAAAGCTGTTTGGGCTATTTTGGAGCCCTCTCGGGCCGTCTTGGGGCCCTCTTGAAGGTTGGGAGATGTCTGGGCCATCCTGGAGCGTCGAATAGCTGAACATGCGAGAACCCTAGACTCCTTCAAACACCTTGTGTACTTTTGACGATGCTGGCCTCTTGGGGCTCCCTCGGGAGGCCTCTTGGCTCGCTCTTGGGGCCGTTTGGGGCCCTGATGGGCCGTCTTGGAATCATCGTCGGGCGCCTTGGCATATTCTTGGCCTCGGCAGTACGGATAGGGCCGAATTTGCTAGGGTTTGTTGTCTCAGTGACGCAAACATTGAACATTTTGCACGGGCTTGTGGCCTCGGGGGCGCAACTATTGCGTAATTAAAAAAGGCGTCTGACTTCGGGGACGCGAGTATTGAGCAATTTGCAAGAGTTTGTGGCCTTGGGGATGGGAATATGTTGTGATTCGCGGAAGAGTTTGGGTTCGGGGACGCGAATGTTGTAATTTGCTGAGGTTTGTTGCCTCGGGGGTGCAACATTAGATTAATTTACAAGGACGTGTTGCCTCGGAGGCGTAAAAGTTACATCATTTGTAATGGTTCATGTCTTCGGGGGCGCGAAGATTGCACACTTAACAGGTTTACTGCTTCGTGGACACACAACTTGCATACTTCGCAAAAAGTATTGACCTCGGGGGCGCGAGTATTTTGTAATTTAATTTTCGAGGGTTCGTTGCTTCAGGGGCGCAACTGTTGTTCATTTACGGTGGACCGTGGCCCCAAAGGCGCGAATGTAGCGTAATTTGCCGGCGATCGTGGCTTCGGGGGCGCAAGTACGGCGATGGTGCGGGGATCGTGGCTTCGGGGCCGCGAAATTGGAGCAATTTGCAAGGGATCGTGGCCTCGGGGGCGCGAGCGCGGCGTAATTTACAAGGGATCGTGGCGTCGGGAGCGCGAGCGTGGCGCAATTTACAGGGGATCTTGGCCCCAGAGTCGCGACTGCAGTATAATTTGGAGGAGATCGTGGCCTCGGCGGCGCGAACACTGCGTATTTTGCAAGGGATCGTGGCTTCGGGGACGCGAGTGTGGTTCAATGTGCAAGGGATCGTGGTCTCGGGGGCGCGAGCACAGCATAGTTTACGAGAGATTACTGCGTCGGGAAAGCGAATCTCCTCTATATATATATATATATATGTATGCATGTATATATATATATATATATATATATATATATATATTACGTGTCCCACGGCCCCGCAGAAATTCAGAACACCCGAGTCGGGGGTGGTAACCAGACGTTTTCTGGCTCCCCCCCTCGCGCGGACTTCTACAATTTACAGATGGAAGCCGAACGCAGGACTGTAACATTGCAGACTGGACACTGGAATTGGCACAGGGCACTGAAACCTAATCCTCGCAGCCTGATGGCCCCACAAGAGGGCCGGCGGATTAATTTTGAGCTGGCGCGGCGCCAGATTGCGGCAGGGGCCGACAAGCCTCCTAGGCGATGGCGGTGATCTATTGTCGACCCAATTGGGTGTCGAAAGCAGCGACGATGGCGAGCGAACCCCAGCATCTTGTAATCGCTGCAGCGTCCGCATTCCATCAGAGTCTGCTAGCACTGTAGCAGGTAGCGACGGCTTTTCTAGGACATCTTTGCACACGCGAACCCACCCAACTATGATAAAACCAGCGGGATATACCGATCGCCCCCTCACAAGTTGGGCCAGTGGGTCCTTGGCGATAGCTCGTCTATCTTCATGCTTCAACCTCATATTGCGGTTGGTCAATCGCAAAATGGTCACCGCACCTTTCGGGGGCCCCCGAGCAGGTGACGCCAGAGATGACGGAGGAGGGGGAGGGAGGAGGAGGGGGAGGGAGGAGGAGGAGGAGGCGGAGGAGGAGGAGAAAAAGGAAAGGATGAGGAGGAGGAGGAGGAGGAGAAGGAGGACGAGGATGAGGAAGGTGAGGAGGAGGAGGAGGAGAGAGGAGGAGGAGGAGGAGAAGGAGGAGGAGGAGGAGGAGGAGGAAATAGTGGTGGAGGAGGGGGTGGAGGAAGAGTATGATGGGCAGTGGAAGGAGGGTGATAATAGTGGATGGAATAGCGGGACGAGGCGGAGAAGGACGAGCACACGGACGAGCAGGAGGAGATGGAGGCGGATGAGGAGGATGAGAAGGACGAGGACGAGGAGGAGGAGGAGAAGGAGGAGGAGGAGGACGAGGACAAGGACGAGGACGAGGGGGGGGGTGAGGCCGCGGAGGAGGAGGTGCAGGAGGGAGAAGGAGAAGGAGGAGGAGGAGGAGGAGGAAGGTGAGAGGAGGAAGACGAGGAGGAGGCGGAGGAGGAGGAGGAGGAGGGGGAAGGTGAGCGGAGGAGGAGGAGGAGGAGGACGAGGAGGAGGAGGGGGAGGAAGAGGAGGAGGAGGAGGAGTGCTAGCCGGTCTCCCACCCTCCTCGGGCCGGTTTCCCTCCCAGCTTGCCGCCACGGCTGCCACGGAGAGGTCGCCAACGCCTACGCCCGGCTGAGCATGCGCGACGACTTGCTCTTCGACGACATCGCGGACGAGATCATCCGGAGGCCCCAGGACGTCTTGGCGGCGGCGAGCTACTCTCGCCTCCCTCGCTGCCTGGAGGAGGGAAGGGGGAAGAGGGAGGAGGGAGGAGGAGGGACGAGGGGGAGCAGGAATAAGGAGGAGGGAGGAGGAGGAGAAGGAGGAGAAGGAGGGATTCGGAAGGGAGGGAGGGAGGGAGGGAGGGAGGGAGGAGGAGGAGGTAATGAGCAGGGAGGAGGGAGGTGAGAGAGCAGGGGGAGGCGGGGTGGAAGGGAGAAGGAATGGGGAGGAGGCATGGGTATGACTGCCAACTGGACTGCCTAAGTACAAGGAATGCCCCTCGTGGCTTTACCGCTCCGCCGCGAACGCGGCCATCCTGGAAAGCCTGTGTGCCAGCGCGGAGGGGTCAGCGGGCGGGGGGAGAGGGAGAGGGGAAGAAGGAGGAGATGTGGGGTGGAGGGGTGGGAGGGAGGGGAGGATGAGGGATGGGAGGGAGGGGGGCGGAGGACATGGAGGAGGGAGGTGTCGGGGGGGAGAGAGCGGGTCCTGACGTGTTCAGCCTCGGCATCTCTGGGGTGGTGGGCCGCCTCTGCGGCGTGGATCCGCCTCGAAAATCCTGGTCAGGGCGCGCCGTGGGACAGGTCCAGGGACGATTCGCCCTGGACATTCAGGCGTCGCGAGCACAGAGCACGACGGGCGAGACAACGGCAGCTCTCCCTGGCGTTTCTCATCGTTCTTGGGCCTCCTGGAGGCTTCTTGTGAGGCTTCTCGTTGCCATGGCTAGTCTTAAGTCGGGCCTGTCCCTTTACAGGAGGAATCTTCCAAACTAGTAATAGACTTGTATGCGGACGATTTTCAATATATATATATATATATATATATATATATATATATATTAACATATATATATGTATATATATATATATGTAGATACACTACTACTATTACCTTTGGATGTGTTATGACTGGTTTTACTGTTCGTCCAAAATCCGCCTGTAGGGGGGCATGCCCGACCTAAGGCTAGGTTCCGCCTCGGATACCGGGTCAGGATCGACATCGGGAGGGGTCTGGGACCGATTGTGAGCGGACTTGGGCAGCGCCCGCGGGTCGATCGGTTTTTCAAGGGAGCGCTGCCCCGTAGGGAGGATCATTTCTTGCATGGATGTACGAGGAGGGGACTCTGGACGGGTGAGTGCGTTGTGCCACCGCTCATGCATCCTGAGTTGACTTTCTCTGGTCCACGCCCCTTCTCCTCTCCTCATTCGTTCGCTCGTGTCCCACTTCCTCTGGGAAGTTGGGGGGTGGGAAGGTGAGACTGAGAAGGGGGAGCAGGAGGCGAGGACAGGTGGAAAGGAACGAAGGAGGAAGGGGCAGGTGGTTCGTGGTAATGGGGAGGGGGCGAGGCGGACCAGGTGGATGACGATGGCGATGCTGATTATGGTGATGATGGTGACGATGACGATGGCGACGCTGATTATGGAGCATACGCTGATGATACTGATGATGCTGATGAGGAGGATGAGGAGGATCACCATGACCATGATGATGCTGATGATGATGCTGATGAGGAGGATGAGGAGGATGAGGAGGATGCAAATGACCATAATGGTGATGATGATGCTGATGATGATGACGACTGTTAATAATAAGAAACCTACGATGATGATGGTGGTGATGGTGATGGTGAGGCTGCTGATGCTCATGCTCATGCTGATGCTGCTGCTGATGCTGATGTTGATGCTGATGGTGGTGATGATGCTGATGATGCTGAACACGGTATGAGTGGTGAAAGCGATGGCGATGATTGTTATGGTGATGACAACGACGAAGGCGGGTAAGGAGGGAGATGGTAATCTTGATCTTCTTATTCTTCCCCTCCTCTCTGCCCGCGACAGGCCCTGCCGTCCTCCCCCCCCGAGAGGAGCTGGACGCGGCTGCCCTCGTGCTGGCCGCGAATGCGTTCGGCCATTTCAGGACCACACCCGCGGGTCCCTCCGATTCGACATTTACACAGTATGAAGACTTCGTTCCTCTCTTCCCCGCTGACCCCGAGGTTGCAGCCTGCCCCCCTCCGCGTAGAGTCGCTCACACATAGGATCCCCAAGAGGTGGTCGATCATGTGTGCTTGTCCCATCCGAAGGTTGTCAGTGTTTTCAAATGGCTCTCCGGAACAGCGTTGGCTCCATTATTTGGCTCTCGGTCTTTCCGAATCATACTCCCGCTGCAAGGTTGATCTCATTTCTGTTTTGCGGATCTTTCAAAACGTGATCTTGCTACAGCGTTGGCTCTCATTCAACGCTTGTGTTTGCTTGTGCGTTTTCCAATTCGGATGTTGTCGGTCCTTCCAGAAAGGCGATCGTGCTTTATTATTTATTTAATTTCCGCTTTTATGGCTCGTCCACAAACAGTGGCGGTCTTGTTTCATCTTTGCTCCCATCCCGTGTTCTCGGCCAATTGGGAGAGGAGATCTACGCCATGGTAAGGGATGGTAGGGAGGGGGATGACGTCAGATATGACGCGACCGCACCTGGCTCGCCATCTCCTTCCTGTCCTCGCCTTCCGTCGCCGCTCCCTGCTACTTCGCATAGCTCCTGCGCCCTCCTTCCCCTGCTCCTGTTACGTCCGCCTGCTCCTGACGCTTCGTCTATCTCCTATGCCTTCTCCCTCTGTTGCCTCTTCCCCCTTCCGTCCGCCCCATCCTCTTCGTCCTGGTCTCTCTGCCGGCTGCCCACGTGTTTCTGCGCGGTCTCCCTCTTGATGTGTTGTTTGCCTTCTCCTCCTCCTCCTCCTATTCCTCTCTCTCTCATCCGTCCACCCCGCTCCCCCCCTCCACCTCCTTCCATCATTACTGGTTCCATCCCTTCTCCTCAAAGATGGTTCACCATGTCGAACCCCGAGAGACGTGTCGCTAGGGCGGCATTGGCGTTTCGCGGCATATTTCTTCGCCACTCATGACCCCTGAGGTTTAACACATTTTGACATATTCACGGACGGACGGCAGGTGGTTTTCGATATGCACGCATTGGTTTCACACGTTTGCAAGAATTTCATTGATGGAGGGCGGGTCGTTTCCAAAATGTGGCTCTCTAGTTTGGGCCGTGTATATCCGTTTTAATGTTTGCAAGAGCTTCGTGGATCGAGGGCGGTTCTTTCCTAAAATCTAGGATGTTGTCCTCGCCTTAGCGCCGCGCGCATTCGTCTGACACATTTGCAATACATTCAAGGATGGAAGGCGGATGGTTGTCCATCTCGCTTTAGCGCCGCGTACATTCGTACCAACAGTGTGCAGCAGTTTTACGATCGGAGGGCGGGTTGTTTGAAGACGATGTTCTCAAGTTGGTGCGGCGCACACTTGTTTCAAATGTTGCAAGAGAGTCGCGAATACAGTGCGGTTTCTTTCCAAAATGCGGTTCTCGCTTTAGCGCCGCGTCTATGTGTGAACGTTAGCAGGAGATTCACGGAAGGAAGGCTGGTGGTCTTCCAATATGTTTAACGCAGTAGCGCAGCGCACATTCAATTGACCCTTGAGCAAAAGTTTCTTGAGGCAAGTTCCAGAAGTAGCGCCACATTTTTGTTGAAGAATGTACCACAGTTTCTTGGATGGTGGTCGGGTGAGTTTCAACATGTGTTTCTCGTCCTACGGCCGTACACATTCGCCTCCAAAGTTTTCGAATGGTTCAGAGATTCCCATGGGTGATGTCTCAGGAATGGTGTTCAGGCGCAGCAGTCATTCTGATTGGCAGTGTTGAAGTCCATCTTATCAGTATTATTATTGTTATTCGTATTCTTCTTCTGATAGGTAGTACTCTACTTTTTATTATTATTCTTCACACTACGATTATCCTTATTTGCTCTATCATTGGTATTTTTACTTGTCTTTTTAGTTTTTCCTTATTGTTGTCATTGGGCATCTAATGTGTATTAGTATCGTTCTCATCATTCGCAGCGCAGAAGTCCCAGGAAGGGCTTTTTGGTAAGATTGGGGCTTCTCAGACGGCTGTCTTCCAACGGGGTCTTCCCCTCAGTGAAACAACAATTGTTGTAAGTGGCCTATGAAGAGGGGAATGTCGAAGGACAGTGAATTGCCTCATCGTCGGTGCGTCTTGCGTTTACGCTGGCCTTCTCTCCGACGACGACATCTTCCTACTCCTGCATCCTCTACCTGCATGTTCCTGCCTTGCAGACTTCCTGCCTCGTCTTGCTTCCTCCGTCCAGCGCCTCCTCCGCCTGCTCACCCTGCTTCTGCTGCTGCTGCTCCTTCCTGTCCCCCTCGTGGAGCGAGCCCGGCAAGGCAGTGCCGCCGACAGCGCTCCCGTATACCCGTGCTTGCCCCATCCCTCTTCCAAGGGGGGAGAGTGCCAGGGGATGGGAGGGAGTGAAGGTAGTAATGATAGGGAGTCGGAGCTTTGTGGGCCTCGGAAACGGCAGGGCCGTTTCTCCACCGTTTCCAAAAAAATGCCCCTTGAAAATAGAAACGGCAAAAAAACGGCGACCGGAAACGGCAAAAAAACGGCTCCAGGATTGGAACCGGAGACGGAACCGGTCAAAAAGCGGCGACGGAACCGGTAAAACAACGGCGTTGGAACCGTTAACAAAAACGGCAAAACGGAACCGGTAAAAAAACGGCCCTGTCGTTTCCAGGGCCCACTAAGAGTCGGAGGAGTGCGGCAGGGAGGTTGCGTGATGTGTGAGCCGGGGTCGCAGGTGCAGATTGGTTTCGAACTTCGTGGTACCTTGGGTCGCTTGCCTTAAGATTCGTAGTCGGCACGGACGTCTCTTGGACCTACAGGTGTTTCGGAGAATTCAGGTGCGCTGGTGAGATGGGTAGTGATGGGGCTGACAATTCCAGTGTGATGCTGATAAGGTGCTGATGATGGTGGGACTGGTGATGATTAGGATGATGATTATGATGATGGTGGTGGTGGTGATGATGATGATGAGCAAAATGGTTATGGTTATGGCGGTGGTGATGGTGACGTTGTTGACGATGGTGGTTGCGATACAGATGATACTCATAGCGATGATGCTGATGCGGTGATTACTGATTATGCGGATAATGATAGTGATGATGCCGATGATGCTACTTATGATGGTAACGATGATGTTCATGGTGATGTTGTTGCTGATACTGATGATGATGATGATGATGATGATGATGATGATGATGATGATGATGGTGATGGTGACGATGATAGAGGTAATGCTACTGGTGATGCTGGTGGTAGCGGTTGCGCTGGTGAGGGTATTGTTGTTGCAGGTGGTGATTGTGATGTTAATGTTGTAGGTTTTGTTGATGATGTTGATGATGTTGATGTTGATAAGGATGAGGAAGATGATGATGCGGATGATGCTGATGATGATGGTGGTGATCATGATGATCATGATGATGATGTTGATGATGATGACGATGATGATGATGATGTTTATGCTGCTGATGCTGCTGATGATGATGCTGGTGATGCTGCTGATGGTAATGATGATGCTGCTGCTGATGCTGCTCATGCTGCTGCTGATGATGATGATGATGATGATGATGGTGGTGGTGCTGATGATGATGATGATGATGATGATGACGGTGATGATGATGATGATGCTGCTGTTGCTGCTGCTGATGATGATGATGATGATGATGATGATGATGATGATGGTGACGGTCGGGGTGCCATTTATACAGTCTGGGAGCAAAGCTCGTCCAGCTGTCTTACTCCAACCGCGGCATGCGCACCGCCGTCGGGGCCCGACGGGCCCCCCCGAGGGCCCCGCGCCGCGCCGGGGCCACCTGCGAGGCCCAGGCCAGCGCCGCCCAGTGCTCCGGTCCGTGTCCTGCAGGCGGCGGGGCGCCGACGAGGAAGGCACCCCCAGCGGACGCGTCCACGGGCCGAAGGCCCGAGTGCCCCACTCAGGAGGGGAAAAAACACACAGACACAATTAATCGTCGATTCCCCCGAAAATATGGGAAAATATGGGAATGGGGGGAAGACAAAAAAAACCCAGATATGGGAAAGTATGGGGATTCTGTTTATTCGTGTGTATGTATTTGTATGTCCTGAGGCCCCTTCACCCACGGAGGTCGCAGGCGGCGCGGCCAGGGCCCTCTGCCGGGGCCCGAGCGGGGCGCGCCGCCGGGTGCGTCGAGCCGCGCGCCCCTGCCGTGGCCACGGCCCCGCGGGGCAGCCCCGGGGCAGCGCGGGCCGTCCAGGCGGCGCCTCTCCGAGCCGAGCCTTCCGCGCAGCGGGCGCCTGGGCAGAGTGCGGTGGTCGCGCAGCACCCACGACCCGCTCGCAAGCAGCCGCACGTCCCTGGGCGAGCCCTCTCCTCCTCCTCCTTCTCCTCCTCCTTTTCCTCCTTTCCTCCTCTTCCTCCTCCTCCTCCTCCTCTTCCTCCTCCTCCTCCTCCTCCTCCTCCTCCTCCTCCTCTTCCTCCTCGTCCTCCTCCTCCGACCACGCCGACACTTCATGCTGCCGTAGTCCTCACCGCCTCGTGCTCCTCCACGCGCTCCTTCGTCCAAGGTGGGAGGTGAAGGATCCAGCGCCGCCAGTGGCCGCGTCGGGCTGCGACGTCTGCATCGATACCGGCCGTGCTCGCCTACGTGTAGCCATCGGCCTTCATCTGCACGTCGGGCACGGAGCGGTGCGCGTCGTCGAGGTGTGTGTCTATCGCGTTCAGCATGGCCTCGGCCCAAACCCATGCGGAGCAGTTGCCCAGCTTTCGAAGCGTGTCGCCGCGAGGCCAGCAGAGCACCCTCGGCGGTAGCCAACGTATCTGACCCTCACGATGTGGCCGCGCCTGACGGTCCATGTCAGCGTGCGGTTGCGCAGGTGACTCCTGAGCGTGAGGGAGAATTGCCTTGCGCGCTCCACGGCCGCCATGGCGCTGCGGCTGCCTGCCGCGAACGACGCGGATCCCGTGCGGCCCCGCTGCGCCATCTCCACGACCGGTGTCGAAGAGCAGCATGGCTCAGGCTACGCGGTCCTTGCTCCAGCTGAGGCCGTGTATGATGATCCACTTATGCGAGCGTGAGCCTCGGGCCTGCTCCTGCAGCTTGCCCAATGCGGCCTCATCGGCCTCGCCAGTGGCCCTTAGCCCAACTCCTGGTCCTCAGCGTCGCCGTCCGTCCTGCCTAGGTTGGGCCCGCAGCCCGCAGGCTGCTTCGCCGCCTCCCGCTGGCCCCAGCGGGGGTACTTGGCGGGAGAGGCTTGCCCACCTCAGCGCAGGCTCGTTCACCCCAGGAAGAGCTCGAAGATCCACGTCAGCGGGCCCGACGTCCTGCTCCTGCAGGTTTGTCGGCGTCGTCGGACTCGCCCGTGGCCTTGCCCTGGGCCGTCCACGTGAGCCACCTCGGCGACGTGACCGACTTCGAGCTGCGCGCAGCGCTTGGCATCACTGCCCATGAGGAGCTCGAGACTGTCGCCCCGCACGTGCAGAGCAGGCCGCGCGTCCTCCGGTCGCCATCAGCAGGCATCGCGAAGCGGGCCGCCACGCGCAGCGCTCGCCGCCCGAGCCGCGGGCCGCCGTGCGCCGCGGCGGTGCCCCGCGGGCTATTCACCGCCCCATGGAACAGTGGAACGGCGCCCTGGCCAGGCGCCAGTCTCCGCGCAAGGGAGGACGGCTCAGCGAGACTGCCGCAACCCTCGAGCAGACGCGGTGATGATGGTGATGATGCTGATGGTGGTGGTGGATGTTGTGAAGGTGATGACTACGATCATGATGATGGTGACGATGCAGATGATGAGGTTGTTGATGATGGTGAGGATGATGATATTCATAATGCTGATGACGATGATCAGGATGAGGATGATGCTGGTGATGGTGATGATGATGGTCTCGACGATGTCGATGATGAAGATGATGGTGTTGGTGCTGATGGTCATGATGCTGGTGATGCGGTTGAAGATGATGTTGATGACGAGTGATGATGAGAATGATGTTGATTATAATGAGGATGAGGATGAGGATAGTGATGAGGAAGAGGATGAGCATGAGGACGAGGGTGAGGATGATCATGATGATTGTGGAGGATCTGATAGTGATAGCGACGATGATGATGATGTTGGAGGTGATGATGTAATCACGGTTATGATGATGTTGATGTTGATGATGCGGTTGATGATGATGATGATGATGATGATGTTGTTGATGACCATGGTGGTTATCATGATGATGTTGATGATTGTGATGATGATATTGATGGTGATGATGATGTGTGCGTTAATGTCGATATTGTTCATGATGTTGATGATGATGTTGATGATGGTTATGGTGGTGAAGATGACGAGTAAAATACTGGGGATGGCGTGACGATGACGATGATGGCGATGGTAATGATGATGATGATGGTGCTGATGATGATAATGATGATGATGATGATTTTGCGCTGGTGATGATGGTGACGCTCATGATCATGATGCTGGTGATTCGCATGTGGATGACGAAGGATGATCATGGGGAAGATAAGGTTGATGGTGAGGATGACGGGCATGAGGAATGTGATGAGGACGAGTATGAGACCAGAATGGTTGTGGTGGTGATGGTGACGTCAACAATGGTGATGATGCTCATGGTGATGATGCTCATGGTGCAGATGATGATGTTGAGGATGATGACTATGAGGAAGATGCTGATCTTGATGCTGCTGATGATGCTGCTGCTGAAGGTGATGATGACGGTGCGGCACATGATGTTGATGTTGACGATGTTGATGGAGATGATTGTGATGATGGTAATGCCGCTGATGATGACGACGATGATGACGATGCTGGTGATGATGATCGTGGTGTCGATGCTTTCACTGCTGACGAGTATGATGTCGATGACGGCGGTGATGATGATAGTGGTGACAATGATGATGATGGTGAGGATGGTGATGATGTGATGATGATCATGGTGATGACGATGATTATGATGATGAGGACGCCGATACTGTTGCTGATGCTGATGCGGATGATGATGCTGATCATGCTGGTGGTGATGACGATGACGACAGCATGCCGATGAAGATGAGGTTGACGCCGATGCTGCTGACGCTGATGGTAATAATTGTGGCGAGGCTGGCGACGACGTTGGCGATGATGGTGATGCGGATGCCGATGGTGCTGATGATGATGGCGATGGTGCACATGGTGATAACGATGTAGATGCAGATGATGATGATGATGATGATGATGATGATGATGATGATGCTGACTGCGATGTTGCTGGCGAAGATGATGATGACAATGATGATGATGCTACTGATGATGATGCTGATGCTGTTGCTGATGCTGATGATGATGATGGTGGAGACAATGCGAAAGGAGATGATAACGATGCTGATGATGCTAATGCTGATGCTTGTGATGATGCTAGTGGTGATGATGATGCTGATGATGCTAGTGATGGTGGTGATGCTGACGATAATGCTGACGATGCGTATATTGCTGATGCTGATGCTCATGACGCGGATGGTGACTGCGACGTTGATGACGATGGTACGAACGTTGATGTTGATGATGGTGTCGACGACGATGAAGATGTTGCTACTGATGATGTTGATGGTGATGATGATGCTGATGACGATGCTTATGATGACGATGCTAATCATTATGGTAGTGACGATGATGGTGTTGCTGGTGGTGGTGGTAATCTTGATTATGATGCTGATGATGCTGATGATTATGGTGATGTCGCTGATGCTGACGATAATGTTGATGGTACTGCGGATCGAGATGTTGATGGTTACGATGATGATGATGATCATGTCGTTCCTGGTTATGATGATGATGAGGGTACTGATGCTGATGCAAGCAAATTTGATGCTGATGATACTGATGCTGATGATGATGGTGAGGAGGCGGATGATAATAATGATGATGATGGTGATGCTGATGCTGATGGTGATGATGATGATGATCATGCTTTTGACGACGATGATGGTAATGATTATGATGCTGGTGCTGATGTGGATGCTGATGTTGATGATGCTGATGATGATGATGGTGATGATGTTTATGATGACTTGTGTGGCGACGATGATGACGATGATGAAGTCGATACTGATGATTTGAACGATGATGATGCTGTTCATGATGAAGATGAGGATGACGATGACGACGACGACGACGATGTGGGTGCCGACGAACCTGACCCAGGCTGAGATAGACTATCCCCTCCGTCAGTCTTCCTTTCCCCTTGTCTCTCCTGTCCCTTATCTTTTTCTAGTTCGGTTGAGCCGCCGCGAGGATATCTCATCCGCGCCTGTGGCTGGTGCTCTCCGAGTGGCTGCTGCACTCCTGCCTGGACCTGGAGGCCCCCGCATTCACAGTGCTCCTTCGCGGGACCAGCAGGAGGTCGAGGAGGAGGTCAGCGCCGTCCTCGAGAAGGTCAGGGGGTGCAGCTGGCGGCTGTGTACACAGAATGTTGCGCCAGCCTTTACGGAAGGAGTCCATGATGATGGCGGGTGGCTTTGATGCATCCGCAATGGGTCGTTTTGAGAACGTTGCCCCTTCCTCCTCCCTCTCATTCCCCTTTCCTCTTCCCCATTCCTTTCCTCTATTGTTTTCGTTGTCCCGACGTTGATCAGAATAATTGACGCGTCTGAACGCTCGGACTGAAGCAACAAGACACACGCGGACAAACACTGCAATCTGCGCAACACTCGAGCAACGCGTGCGCAACAAGAATTGAAATGCCAAAGGACGGGTGGAACGTGGAGAAGCCCGCACAGGCATAGACATGGTTACAATCCCTCCAGTGCCCTTTTTCTCTTCTTGTGTTTCCCCGTGTTTGGCGCATCGGCTGATGACTCGAGGCAGGATCGCTGTAACGATGTCCTTTCCGTGCCGTGGACCTGGAGACCGTAATTCAAAGTGCAGAGGAAGACGATTCGGTGAGTCTGAACAATTCTTCCTCCACCTGTCATCCCCGCCACATCTACTATGAACAGTGTCCACTACTTGCGGATGTGCCCATGGAAAGATGCCCTTGTCTTGTGGTCTTCAAGTTAGCCCCGCGGCACTGCGATGGATACTTCGGAAGAAACGGCAATCTGAGACGTCCTACGTCGGGGATTTGACGCGCTGTCTAGCCTCTGCTGTAGCGGTGGTCAACTACAGTTCTGGTGCTCTTCTGACTGACTGACTGCGTTGGAAAAAAAAGGTGAAGGAGGAAGGGGGAGAGATGAATTCGGAGAAGGCGGTGGCAGGGGTGGAGGAGAAATTGCCTCGCCTCCGACGGCTTCGTCCCTAACAGGTTTTCGCAAGGACCGGTTCGCCATAGCCCGCGTCGCCCAGACCGCTTTGCCCCAAGGCCGTCGATGGCGAGGGCGAGGGCGAGGGCGGTTGGCGCACGCGGCGGCGGCCGCGGCAGCATCACCCCCCGCCACCCCCCGACCCGCGCAGCAGGCGGACGATGTGGATCAGGATGATGAGAAAGAGGAGGAGGAGGAGGAAGAGGATTATTTTGATGATGCTGATGGTGCTGATGATGATAAGAGGAGGAGGAGGAGGAGGAGGAGGAGGAGGAGGAAGAGGAGGAGGAGGAGGAGGATTATTTGGATGATGCTCATGATGCTGATGATGATGCTGATGATGATGATGATGATGATGATGATGATGATGATGATGATGATGATGAGGAGGAGGAGGAGAAGGAGGAGGAGGAGGAGGAGGAGGAGAAGGATGAGGATGAGGATGATGAGGGTGGTGAGGGTGATCAGTATGGTGATGATGCTGATGATGATGCTGATGATCATGAGGAGGAGGAGGAGGAGGAGGAGGAGGAGGAGGAGGAGGGCGCACCAGGCGAAGGACGTGGCGGTGCTGCTGAACGCCTTCGGCGCGGTGGGCTTCCACCACGAGGCGCGCGCCTGCGCCCGCTGCGAGCATGCCGGGGCCTCTCGGGGGGCGCCTTCGTCTTGGGCTCTCGGCATTGGCGCCGATCTTGGCGCTGTCGACGGCCTGGGCGACGGCGACGGCGCCTTCGACGGCCTCGGCGTCGACGGTCTCGACGGCGACGGCGACGGCGACGGTCTCGACAGCGACGGTGACGACGGCGGCGGCGGCGGCGACGGCGACGGCCGCGGCGGCAGCCACGGCCGCGGCCACCGGGGGGACCGATCATTGCAGGAGAGGAACAGTCGAGGTGAACAGTCGAGATGAACAGTCGAGGTGAACAGTCGAGACGAACAGTCGAGATTGCAGGGGACCGATCACTGCAGGAGACAGCGGCCTTCTGGAGGCTCCTCGTCGCCACGGCCAGGTCCGCGCAGAGGCACGGGAAGGGATGGACTTGGGGGGGGGGCTCCGGGGGCCGAGTTTTCGAGAGGATGCGGACCGGGCGGGAGGGTCGTCGTGTTCTCAACCAGAGCTGGACCTAACCTCGGGGGCGCCAAAGGGGGGGGTGATGACTAACTAGGGACTAGGGGGGGGGGAATATCATGGCGGGGGCCATGATGTTTCCCCAGATTTCATGGCGCCTCTTCTTATTTCATTACGTCCCTGGCCCCCCCGCTGGGCCGCGCACATGCCGCCGGTCATGATTTGCACCCCCCCCCTCTTGGACACCCCCCTATTGGCCGCTCCCGATAAACGTTGTTTTGCTGGACTTCGGCTGTGTTTTTGTGCTTCGTTTTGGCAGGGCGGTACAGGAACACAGGCAGAGCAAAGCGACGAACAACATCGACACCCAAACGAAACACAACGTTTGGGTCCAGCCCTGACCTCAACAGACCTTGCCCTTGCGTCGGGATTCTAGGAACGTGCCCGTCAAGCGGCCCCGGAATTGCAGCCGCGGGCCTGAACGGGCCCCCGAACTCCACCGTGGGTGATCGCCCGACCGTCGCGGTGCATTTCGCGCCGGTTTTGCTGAGCTTTTCCGGGCCATTCGTGGGGGCCCGCTTTGGGCCATGCGTAATTCGGCGGCGAGCGAGGGAGGGAAGTGAGAAGGAGAACGCCTTCTCAGAAGGTGGCGGGACTTCTCAGACGCCCTCGCGCCTTTGAGAAGTTTTTCTGTCTTCGGGGAAGGCTCGTAGAAAACTTCTCAGAAGGCCGGGGGGCTTCCGAGCCTTCTGAGGCGGCTCGCCCCTTCTCGTTTCCCCCCGGGCGCGCCGCCAACATTCGTGAGGGCCGCTTTGGGCCATGCGTAACGGGGGGGCGATGCGGGGGCAGCGAGGGCTGCAGAAAGGAGCCCCCTGGGGCCCCTGAAGGAGCCCTCTGGGGTATCTATCGGCGATGTATCGCCAATTCCAGGTCGATGCGTCCCCCCCTTGTGCCAGTCCCCCCATCGTTGCCACTCATTGGCGCTCGGCTTAGAGCGCTCTGGCCTGGTCCCGTGGGGCGCCAGCACCGCGCTGCCGTCGCGAGAGCACTGCCTGGTGCAGCCTGCCCCGAAGTCGGGCACGTCACTCTACAGGAGGCATGTCCAAAGATAGTAAAGAAATCGTCGGGGTTCGAGTTTTCGATTGCTTTTTGGTTCTGGTGTTTGGTTATTTTTCGACCAGAATCCTCCTGTAGGAGGACATGCCCGACCTAACCCCTACCCCCAGGGGGCGCCATTTCCGCTGCTGTTGCTGCCGTGCTTGCTCCCGCAGAGCCGCCCGCGAACTTTCTCCCTACTCGTGTTCGCCGGCTGCAATGAGGGGCAAGGGGCGCGCCGACTAGTGAGGGCGACTGTGGGCGGGCTTCTATGCGCCCCACGCGGCTCGCACTCTCCAACACAGCTTGCGCTCGCGTCTCGGCGCCATGCATCAATGGTCCCTCTTCCCGCCTGCCGTCAGCCACGTGTGACTCAGGCGTGACCCCGATCTTCCAGCAGCCATCCCACTCATTCAAGTTGCCGCCAGCGCCTGGATCGACAACCTCTGGGAAGACCCGTTGGGAAATGACGGCTTCATGCCAACATATGGTGGCATCACACGTTGGAACCGACGTGAGAGCGCGTAAGTTGCAGATCGTTCAATTCGTTGGACACAGTTCGCAGGTCAGCGAGATCGAATCCCAACGGTGGCGTGCGGACGTGCGAGCAGCCGCGTTTTGCCAGCTTGATGTCGGAAAGGGCCCGCTTGCAATGCAATGGGGAACGTGATATTGCACACGCATCACGCTTGAATATGTTGAGGCAGTGGCCGGATTTCTCATTTGTGCTTTGACGGAGAAGTTTGTCGAGCAGTCAAATCGTATGCCAAGTGCACGTGCTGATGTCAACACGGACGGTTTGGGCTCCTTTGGAGCGAGGCGAAGCACGCGACCAGCATCGATACCACGGCCGAATAAGAGCAGGCCGCAACACAATTTACGCTGATGGGTGTTTCACATGAGTACGTATGGTCAGTGATGACAGCGACCAGGCCAGTCACATCGAGTTGGTGTCGAAGGCAGTGTATCGCCACCTCGTGTCAGAACCTCAACGATCCAATATCTAGCGACTTTGGTTCCAATATTTAGCGAACGTGGGAAGGCATCGCATTGAGTAACGTTTTGAAGGCACGCATCCTCGTCCTCACTGCCGGAAGGTGCGTGGCAAACTTCATAACGGGGCTGGTGATTGTTCGGGTAGGACAAATAAGATTACGGAGCGAATGTGCACAAGTCATGGCCGAGGTAATGCTAGTGATGCCATCGGCGAGTTCGTCCCATGTGCGAGTGATACTATCACCTCTCTTTGGACGATGGCAGTCCTACACAGCTCCTGTGCCCAAGTTATACTCAAAACGGCGCCGAGTCAAGCCCACAAACACAAATAACGGCACGAACAAAGCCTTCTGAGGCTACGGCTTTGCTGCGCAGGCCGTAGTCCGTTCGGTGCCGCCCGTGGGCCAGAGACGTTTCCGCGCGTCCGTCCGTCTTCCTGCCTCCCTCCTCCTTCCTCTCTCCGCCTTTCTTCCTCATCCTTTTCCCTCGTCCTTTCTCCCTCCCCCGACTGGCGAGCAGGGGGGCATGCAGGAGAAGGGGGATGGGGGAGGGGAGAGAAAGCCGACGCTCCGTGCTCGCGTGTCGCCGGCGAGGGTGGAAGGTGCAGGCGGAGGCATAGGCGGAACAGGAGCAGTTGCTCAGGTGTTGATTCTTCCCCAGGTCCCGAACCGCGGAGCTCCCGAGAGGCCTCCAGAGACCTCCGAAAGGCCGACCACTCCGACACGCCTGCTACCGGGACCCTCGAGCTTCGAGGGCGAAACGTGGCAGGAGCAGAAGCAGCGGAGGGCCGCGGCCCCCCCTTCCCCCGGGCGGGCGCCCCCGAGGCGTTGCTGCGGGCCCTGGTGCACTCCCTCGGAGAGGAGCCGCTGCTGGGGGAGGCCCCTCGGCCGCCCCGCCGCCGCCGCGTCGCCGTGGGGGGGGTGGCCGCCGCCGGCGCGGTCGTCGTGGTCGCCGCGGTCGTCCTCGTGGTCACGGCGGTGGTCGTGGCCGTCGTGGTCACGGTGGTGGTCGTCGTCGCGGTCGTCGCGGCCCTCGTGGTCGTCGTCGCGGTCGTCGTGGCCGCGGCGGTGGGCCGCGTGGCCGCTCCGCGGCCCTGCCTTCGACGGCCCGCGCTTGCCGCCGGGGGGGGGGGGGCGGCGGGGAGGCACGCGGCGCGGCGAGGGCGAGGGCGAGGGCCGGGGCCCCGCGGGCGAGGCGGGCGCCGTCGGGGCTCGAGTCGTGGCCTGGCATCGTTCGGACGTGTGCATGTTTTCCTCGGCGAGGACCATCCAGGACCATCCTGGACCATCGAGCAACAAAAAACGCGCACGAAACCGAACAATGCACGGGAAACGGACGTCCAAGCGATGGCGAGGTGGAGCGGTGGGGCCTCGCCGCCCGGCAGGGCACGGCTCTCTGGACGGTGCGCTGCCGGGAGTTTTTTTGTTTCGTGTCGGGGTTCTCCTCCTCCTCCTCCTCCTTGTCCTTCACTTGGCATCGCTCGGACGTGTGCATGTTCCCTTCGGCGAGGACTATCGAGGAGCATCCTTGATCAGTTGGCGGAAAAGCCACGCTCGGAGCCGAAACAAACACAGGGAATGGGTGTCCGAGCGATGCCCAGTTCAAGCAGTGGCGGAGCGTCCTGGCTCGCTTATAGCCCCACCAAGCAATGTTCTAAGAACCTGTTGCGGTTCCTACGACATGTTCTTAGAACATTTCGGGCTGGGACTGTCTTGTTTTAGCACATCGGGCTTATGTTCTGAGTGCATTGCTCTTGTTCTTAGAACATTTTTGGGTTCTAAGAAAATTTCGTGGTATGAGTATAACAATGCTGGGACGGTCGGTCTTTGCTCAACTCCTGCTGCTTCCTCCTCCAGTCCATGGCAGAGGAGAAAGATAGAGAGAGAGAGAGAGAAAGAAAGAAATAAAGAAAGAAAAAAAGAAAGAAAGCGGCCATGTCTAGAAGTCATCTCTCGCAGGACGACAGCTTGTCTATGCGGCCGGGCGCTCCAGTTCGTTTCATGCGCACGGCACTTGTGGTAGCTCAGTGGCCTCTCCATTGCGTCGCCGAGTCTGCCATCGTGCTGCTGCGACAGCTCACCCCTCCCCTCCAACATTGCGCTGGAACAACACATCTTGCAGGGTCCTGCAGAGCCCCGGCTTGCGTGCAGGATCCTGCAGGATCTCGCAGGATCTTGCAGGATCCTTCGCAGCCCGACTGACCTGGGTCTGGATTGACCCAGGTCTGCAGATCCCAGAGTCCGGAAAGCCAGACGAGGAACAGATACCGATACCGCTACCCTTGCCTCGTTTTAGCCTTTGTGGGCATCCTGGGAGGCCATCCTCGCCATCGCTGGAGTCGCCTCGAAGTCCTGGCCAGAACGCATCTGGGAGAGGTCCTGGGAGTAGCGGTTGAGTTTTTGTTCGGTTTCTTTGGTAAGGGCCCTGTCTTCGCGCGATCGAGAAGTTGGCATCTCTTCGGCGGAAGGGCGGCGGAGGTGAAACGAGGCGGGTTTTGCCGGCGGAAGGCCAACGGAAGGCGGCGGCGGCGGTGGGGGGCGACGATAAGGGGGGATTTGCATAGGGGGGTAACCGTGAACACATCGAGTTGAACTCGGCGATAGATTGCCGATCGTGAATCCACACGGTCCTGGACAGGTTGGGGCTATCGCGCTCCTATCGGCGATCACTGGCCGGTGGGGGGTCGATGCATCCACCCTTATGCCTACCCCCCCCGATCGTTGCCGCTCAGGCGGAAGGGTTCGCTCTCCAAGAGATGACAGTTTGGGTTCCGGGTTTCCGGGACCCGCCATGTGGTCGCGTGCGGTAGGTTCGCGCTGCGTCGACCAGCGGCGACCGCGCCGCTGGCGTTCAACGTTGCACGCAACCAGCGACCCAGAATCGGTCGATGTTTAACAATCTGACGTCTTGGCAACGGCCGATGTCCCGCGGTGTCAGGAATCGCGGTGTCAGGAACCGCGGTCGAACGATCCCCGCGGTGTCAGGAACCAACGCGGGTGTCGACACGACACGAACCTGCCGTGCCCTTTTTGCGACATCGCCGATGCATCAGCGATGCATCGGCAACGCAACGCGATTCCTGCCCGCTTAGATGGCCCCAGCTCCAGTTCAGGCTCCCAAGTGGGATCCGAGCCAGTTGGTTCGCAGGGGTGTCCACGGTTCGGTCGGTTCGGTTGCATCGCAGTCGATTGCGTTTGGTCGGTTCGGTTCGATCGGTCATTCTGTCGTTGTTTCGTCGTTGCGCCCTTCCAGGCTGCCTTCGGCCCGTCAATTTCGGTCGGTTTCGGTTTCGGTGTCGGTTCGGTTGGTTTTCGGTTTTGCTATCGCCGTGCACGGTTTTGGGTGGAAGGATCGCGCCGCCTGGCCGATGCGCCAACGATGCGGCGCATTGTGGCGCCCGCTTTGTTCCACGCCGACGACACAGATGCACCACCGACGTCGTTGGTACATCGCCGATGCATCGGCGATGCATCGGCGATGCAGCGCGTTCCCTCGAAACCATTTATTTGAACCCCAATTTCGGGCGTTGCTGGAAGTGCCCCTGGCCCAAGGTGCCCCCAGGATTTCCCAGGAGGCCCCCACGACCTCCAGAGCACCCCTCACGAGGTCCATAGGGCCCCAGAAGCTCCGAAATGGAACAAAAAGCTGGGGGCACCTTGGGCCAGGGGCACCTTGAAATCCGCCGACCCCTGTTGATTTATCACAGGGGTGCCTGGCGTGTTAGATCCTAGACACGGTTTTGGTCCTTTTAGAAAACTCACTGGGGCTTCGGCCCGTCCCGCCGGCCACTCGAAGAGGCCCCAAACTGCACATCGTGTCAATGTCTTTCATGCCCAAGATGACCCCAAATGGACTCCAAGATGCCTCCAAGACGGGCAAGATGGCCCAAGATGGCTTCCGCAAATCCGCCTAAGATGGTCCAATATGGTTTCCAAGACGGTCCAAGAGGGGCCAAGATGCCTCCAAGACGGCCCAATAGGCATCCAAGACGTCCTCCGGCAAGGCCCGGAAAGGGCACAAATCATTGATTTCCCAAAGGTATTCTAAGGATGTTGGCATGTTCTTCTTATCAGCTCTCCGACGGACCAATACGGCTCAAAAGGCCCCAAACATCGTCCCAAGAGCGCCCAAGAGGCCTCCAACATGACCCCGTGACAGCCCAAGAGGTCCCCAAAGAGGGCCCCAAGAAGAGCCCAAGACGGCCCAAGATGGTCCCGAAGACGCCAAAGATGGCCTCCAAGACGGCCAAGATGGCCTCCAAGATGTCTCCACGATGGCCAAGAAGGCCCCCAAGACAGCGAAGATGGCCCCAATATGCACCCAAGACGGCCCCAGATGGCCTCAAGATGGCCTTAGACTGCCCAACAGGCCCGCAAAAGGCCTCCAAGACTGCCCCAGACCCCTCCAGGGCGCCCTCCAGGAGGCCCGAACACCAAGAAACCACCTGGTCCCATAGCTCGCCCGACTCCGCGCTCCCCGAAGGCTCTCGAAACCCACTCGGGGAGCGCGTGGCCCGATGGCTTGGGCCAAGCGCAAGCCCGGCTGTCGGGCACGCAGGCGCTTCCAGGAAGGCGTGGGGGCGGCGGCGACTCGCCGTGGGCGTCTTCGATCCCGGGCACTCGGGAGGCACCTGCCCCGGGGGAGGCCCCGGGGGGGGCGAGGGGGCGCGGGCGGGGCCCGCGGGGGTTCCGACGGTCGTGCTTCAGTTCCCGTCGTCCGAGGTCGAAGGGGGAGGTCCGGGGCCCCGAGCCCCAGGGGCTCGTCCTCCTCGTTCTCCTCCGCCACCTCCTCCTCCTGCTCTCTTTCTCCTCCTCCTCCTCCTCCTCCTCCTCCTCCTCCTCCTCCTCCTCCTTCCCCTCCTTCTCCCCCTCCGACTCCTCCATTCGTGCTCCTCAAAAATGATTTATCCCTGTCGCACCCCGAGGCCAATTGCACCGCGCACCCTGCTTCTTCCTGTCGCACCCCTGTGTCAATATTTTCTCCCCGTGGCTCTCGCCTCAGCGCCGCGCGTTCTTTAACAACTGCAAGAGTTGCACTGACTGAGGGCAGTTCCTTTTCAAATGTGGTTATCGTTTTAGCGCCCCGTGCATTCTTTTTGTCTGATTTGCAAGAGCTTCACGGATTGAGGGCGGGTCCTATTTCAAATGTGGCTCTCGCCTTAGCGCCGCGCAAATCCATCCTTGGAATGTGCAAGAATTTCACGGATTCCCATGATCAGCATACCAGAAATGGCGTCCTGGAAAAGTTCAGGATCATGCGGGTGCAACAGTTACGTTGATTCGCGGTGTTGATGTCCCAGGAATGGC